CGGTAGGATGAGGTGGAAAACATAAAGTCAGGAACCGTATTTCCTCTTGACACTGGCACTTAGGCTGCATGTGTGGTGAGTTAGTCATGCATCTTCTCTGGTCTCACCTTCCTAGACTTTAAAACGAGAGGGGGATTGAGTGTTCTGCAGGGTCCCGACCAGTGTTGACCTTTTATCCTGCGGTTGTGGATGTGGCCTCTGGGCAAGCAGCTTGGGACACTCACAGTGCCACATTGCTAGACATAAGAATCTGATTTTAGAAGTAGTTTAAACCACTTCTTTATTAAAACTTAACTCAGTTGTTGAGTTTGATTGCAGCAGAGTGTCTGGAGGAAACTGCAGTGGGACCAAAAGACCAATCTGATCCTTATTTAAAATCTTGACAGTGAATAGATATAAGATTAGATATCTTAAAATCACAGGCACGGTCTTAAAATCACACCTTAAAGAGGCGACACTATTATTTTCTCCTTGGACTTTCCTTTCTGCTTTGTAATATTTCAGTTACAAAAGTCCAGTAACAGGCATTTCTAGGGAAGGTTATAAAGAAGCTCTATAGGTCAAGGTAATACATAGTTGAACTATTTTTTCATTATTTGGGAACAGTTTTATGTAAATTCATTGTATAACTAAGGGACCATTTTTTTTGGCGTTGTGACAGTGTTACCTGATCTACCAGGTCCTTGCTCTCAGCCCATGGAAACTACTCACATGGTGTCCCTATTTCTGAAGCCCTAGATAAGGCCATAAGAACCACAGGGTCACTCTGGTTCCCTGCAGGGAGGAACAATAAAAGTAACAATTATGATTTGTCAAGAATTGTATAATTATCAGAACATTTCACATAGAGAAGTAAAGGGAAGTAAATACTATTATCCATGTGTTATGGAAGAAACACAGGCTCCGAGGGATTAAGAAACTTGCTCAAATTCACACAAATCCAGTTTTAAATTTTTGTTCTTTTCATCTTTAGTCTCAAGTATTACGTCCTCAGTTGCCTTCCCCAAGCTGATGAATTGGCAAATCTTTATTGCATTTATGTCTATGTATTACCCAGTTCTAGTACTAGATTTCCATTGTTCATGTTTTCTTATAGAGAAAAGACAGTCTATATCAACAATTTTTCAGTACTGTGTTCAGAATGAGCTAGCAAACTGAGAACTTCCACAAAGTAGCCACCAGTATAATTCTACCACAATATTATTTTAGCTTGTTTTTTCTTTTAAATGTTACATATACATTAACAAGAGGTAAAAACAACACCACACTTGTTTCAGCATGTGATTGTGCTCAGCAATGATTGTTTTATTTGGCTTGTTAAATTACAACCAAAAAGACATTCATCATTATCATTTGTTGTTCAGAATCTGTGCAGGTTGGAAATTATGGCTCTTAATGCGTGAAACACAAGCCCACAACATCTGGATGTAAATGAAAAGCCCTATAACTCACGTCTCCTTCACTTGACATCAGATAATCATAGCCAAAATGTAGTCTGTGTGACTGGGAAATGACACCGGACTCATCAAGAATTGTACTGTTTCATTTGACTTTTCACCTTGTGACAGTTAAGATGCCTAAGATCAGGACTCCTTATCTGAAAACTTCCACCCCAGAACATTTTCTGCCATAGCACCTGTGCCTAATGATAACTTGAAACCAGAACCACCTGCTTGTCTTCAAAAGGCCACCTTATCAGTTGAAAGAAAATGCTTTGATGTAGAGTCTGGCCTAGCTTTGAGGTTGGGAGGGATGGCTTTATTTACTTTCCAGTGGGAAGCTATCTACTTTGGATTGAAGAAGAATTAGAGAAGTATCTGGCTTGATTCTGACATCAGAAGTGCAGATAGTTGGAAAGTGCTTTAGAGCAACTTTGATTATAAGTGAGAGGGTAAACTCCTAAAACAGTATCTTGACTTAAAAACATTAGATTATACACTCTATTTTAGCAGTGAGCCCAACATTTTAAAAAAAAATCAAATAAAGTTTACAAGAATAAAATCTCAATTCTTTTCACTTTTAAAGACAATCAGATAAGATGACCCACTGCCACTAAACACTGATCAAACTCAGTTGTCCTTACATTAGCATTACTCTGCCATAGCAAGAAAAAAGAAAAAAAGTCCCAGTATAAGCTTCTCCAACAGCGAGCATATGATTCCTTACTCACAAGTAAGGGAGCCAAGATAGCTAAGATATCAAGACTGAGGTTTCTAAAGCGTTTTTCTAAAAGGAACATGTGCTAATGAATAACCTCCTTTGATTGCTACCATATATCCAACGAGTATTGTATATATTTCCATTACTATGAAACTAGATTCCTGTCCTGGTCTCCTGTGTTCAGCAACAGCAACATATATATTTAAATACTTTAAAAGAACACCAGCATTCATTAGACATATCAGTCTTGAACATGAGACTCTTTGTTAGAGAACGTGAATCTGAAAAGAATATTTTTTAAAAGCCAGGATGATGTGGCACAACCATTCTAATGAAAAGGTAGGGGGAGACGTTTCAAATACTCATCGTATTGAGAACACAACAAACAAGTCAATAACAGCTGCCTGGGGACTTTCAGGGGAGCAGGGAGATTTGATTATTTAAATCTGTACATCCCCTAAGTTTTATTTACTTATAGTTTACTTTTTAGAGACGGGGTCTCTCTAGGCTTGTCTTGAGCTGCTGGCCTCAAGTGATCCTCCCACTTCTACCTCCCGACTCGCTGGGATTACAGTTATGTGCCCCCAGGCCTGGCTTATCCCAAGTTTTAAAATACTGCTGTGAATAATGTATTGAACTAGGGCCACTGAGAATGAATTTGGTCCCAGAGAAAAAGTTTCGGAACACACACAAATTAGGGCAAGTTGCTGAAAAATCTTTACATGAGATTTGCCCTGGTTCCCCTTCCTGGCTGCAGAGCCCCAGGAACTTTTCCAGCTTCTTCTCTATTCGCAGTGGCCCTTCCAGAGCATAGCGCTGGGCTGAAAGATGTTTAAAGAAGTGAATTGGCAGAAAATATGCATATTTAAAAGCATTTAGGAACAAGTTCAACGGGATTCTCTCCTGGCGCCCAAGGAGACTAGATCACCTCCTCTAAAGCAGGCATCCCCAAACTTTTTACACAGGGGGCCAGTTCACTGTCCCTCAGACCGTTGGAGGGCCGCCACATACTGTGCTCCTCTCACTGACCACCAATGAAAGAGGTGCCCCTTCCTGAAGTGCGGCGGGGAGCCGGATAAATGGCCTCACGGGGCTGCATGAGGCCTGCGGGCTGTAGTTTGGGGACGCCTGCTCTAAAGCTATGTTGGAGAAAGAGCAGTCCCTAACTGGCCTTTGTGGAGGACACTTCATCTTATCACCCTTCCCCTCTACCCAAAGGCACATCACATCCTATGTGGCTTCTTAGTCAAGAACAAAACAAAACAGGGTCTGGTTCTGATTTTTTCAAGAATCAGGCTCACTTTGTATTTTTTATTAGGAGTCAGCAGCCTTTTTCCATAGAGAGCTAGCTAGCCAATATTTGAGGCACTGTGGGGCCACACACTCTTTGCTGCAATGACTCGACTCTGCTGTTGCAGAGCAAAAGCAGTCACAGGCCGTACTGCATAAACAAATGAGTGTGGCTGTGCTCAGTAAAACTGTATTTACAAAAACAGGCAATGGACTGACTCTGGCCCAGTTCTACACAATAATTGCAAATGACGCCTCTCTTCTGAACACTGCAAAGTGCTTCCCCTGGTTCCAGCCAGATTAGTGTCTACTTACATAGCATTTAGTACTTTGATACTGGATCCACGGAAGAAGTATACGAAGTCAGAGTTGGCCGGGCGCGGTGGCTCAAGCCTGTAATCCCAGCACTTTGGGAGGCCGAGGTGGGCAGATCATGAGGTCAAGAGATCGAGACCATCCTGACCAACATGGTGAAACCCCATCTCTACTAAAAATATAAAAATTAGCTGGGTGTGGTGGCGTGCGCCTGTAGTCTCAGTTACGCAGGAGGCTGAGGCAGGAGAATTGCCTGAACCCGGGAGGTGGAGGTTGCAGTGAGCCGAGATTGTGCCACTGCACTCCAGCCTGGCGCCTGGTGACAGAGTGAGACTCTGTCTCAAAAAAAAAAAAAAAAAAAAAAAAAAAAAGAAGTCAGAGTGACCTGAGGACTTGCTGTTCATGATCCACAGCTACAAATCAACATGATCAGAAATTGGAGGGAACCTGCAAGATTGTGATTCTGTTTTATTAAGAAACCTGAGCCAGGCAGTGGTTTATGCCTGTAATCCCAGTAGTGGCAGGCCAAGGCAGGAGGATCACTTGAGCCCCAAGAGTTCGAGACCAGCCTGTGAAACACAGCAAGACTATTTTAAAAAAGAAAACAACAACAAAAAATATCTTATTAAAAAAAAAACCTGAGCATGTAGCTGTCCCTGGCTTTTGCTAATCTCAGAGCTGCCCAGTCAGCAGCTGAGGGTAATGATTATTCTGTGCTGGCAGGTGCAGATGCAAAGAAAAGCAATAAATTATGGATAGTGTGATACTTTAGATGTCTTAAAGAGTCAACACATTTTTTCAAAGAACCAGATATAAGTCAGCACTGAGGGATTCACTACTCAAGCCACTGGACTTACCAATTCAAAGTTAAATTTGGTCAGCATGTGGCTAAAAAACTAAACAACAGAAGCAGATACATAAAAGTTGTGAGGATAGCAGCAGCCAAGAATCACCAAATTTCCTACAGGTAAAGAAATCTTACCAATCATCTTAGCCAGCTGATTCAGATTACTAACGGGGAAACTAAGGCCCAAGGAGAAAGAGGTAACTTGCCAAGCAAATTGTGGAGACATCACCAAATCTCAGCCATTTCAACTTCCGATCTGTTGCAATTTCACTAAGGGGGGCTCACTGACTATATAAACACTTACGTCACAAGTTTATGTTCTAAATATATGGAAAAAGACAAGTTTCCTACTTGGATACAACTGGTCCCATAAAACACCTGAAATTTGCTGAAGGGAGCAGAATGCAGTACATCAATGATTTAAGGTAGTTGACAAAAACTGCACAGGATAAAGCATTAAATGGCCATCTTCCCATGAATATAAATACTTATCTCTCATGTTGTATGCTAACATGGCAAGAACAGACTGGGAAGTTCTCAAATCAAAGTTTGCATTTATCTGTTTGCCTCCTAACAAATCAAAGGCAAATGTGACTCTCATATCTTTGGTGTCTGTGACATAGAGGATTCCTCGGGCAATGAAGGCATTGCCGGCCTTGGATTTGGGGTACGTGGTATTGATGTGCTGCACCACTGAGAATGTGCTCTCATCTAGCCGTGCTACAAGAATGCTTGAGCCATCCACACTCGATGCATAGATAATCCAAAGGCCCTTTTCATCTACAGCTAGGTTGAAGTAAGTCTTGGAATTTGCAAAAAGGTATTTTCGATCAAAATACAAAGCATTTTCAAGCTTCAGAGTTTGGGATGTTTTCTTGCCAAATTCAAATCTGAAATATGCAAACAAACAAAAAAAAGGAGACATGAGTCACTGTTTCTGTGGACGGAGGTGGTTTATTAGTCTCCTCTACTAAACTGAGTTAGTGGGTCTGGGGTAAGGGCTGGGGTTTTGCATTTTTTACAAGCTCCCGGGTAATGCCTGTTCTGCTGATCCTTGGACAATGCTGTGAGCAGCGAGGGCATAGGAGATGATGATCAGCTGTGCTAGCAGAGGCAACAGGGAGACGGTGGTGTGGTGTTCAAGAGAATACTCCCCACAGTCAGAATGAATTCGCATCTGAGTGACCACTTACTAGCCATGTGACCCCCAGAAAATTACTTCACCTCACTAATGCTCAGATGATTGCTGACCTCCTGAAATGCCCCCTCAAAGATTCTTAGAGCTGCACGGGGGCTGTCAAAGAGGATGTAGTTCAATCTTCTCATTTTATAAGCAAAAAATGAGAAGTGACTGGCCCCAGGAATACAAGTAAGAGGCAGAGCTGGAGGTCGAACTTAGGGTTTCTAAGTGTGGGAGTTATTCCTTTACTCCTTGCTGAAATTTAAAAAATAAAAAATAAAAAAAATAAGGTTTCACAACCTGCTAAGAGGAAAGTCACCAGCTGAGAAGGGCTGTTGCAGAGTCATGACTGTGAAGCCCATTTTCTTGTCAAGTAAGTGGCTGGACACCTTAAGCTATGGCATGAAATCTCATGCACCTTAGCTCCTGGAGGCTGTCTGATTGGACAGATCCCAACTCTAGGCTGTATCATAAAATGAATTATAATTCAAACGGTGCCTAACTCCAGGAATGAAAGTTCAGGAACATTAGGCTAAAAGAAAACACCAGAGGGTGCCATTGAGCAGCAGAAGAAACATGAAATATGCGAGTCTGTGGATATGCATTTGATCCTAACAGACTTGAAGTCTATTAAGAAACCGTGAAGAAACTAGAGAGGAGTGAGGCTTGGGAAGGTCCCTGCCCATCTTAGTTCACAGGAATTCTCCTTCCTCTGAATACCTGGGGTTCAGTGCTGCCATTTGTCCCTGTCTGGTCCTGGTACCTCACAGGTGCATTCCTTGGTGAGGCCCATCTCTCCCAGCAGTAGCAGGGTTGAATTCAGCTCTGCCTCTCCATCAGGTCCAGGCTCATGGCCTGGCATACAGAGGTACAGGCCTCCTAACCACTGCATCCAAACTTAGCATTCTTAGAAGACACACCTCCTTAAAGAGGCCAATTCTTACTGTGGGGCTTATCCTCCACAGAACTCCCCCTGACCCTACCCATGTGGCAATAGCCCTATGTAACATGGCAGCAGGGAACCACAAGATTCAACGAGAAGCATCAGAGGAAAGAGTGTCTTGAGAGCAAGGACTACTGAGCAGGTGTTCGGTCACTTGCCTTTTTCTGCTAGCACAAGACTGCCCAAAAGCGTCAGCCAGGGAGGTGTAGAGAGGATGGGGGTGTCATGTAGAGGGGAGTGGGAGGCGAAGGAGGGAATGCTTCCTGCCACGGCTGACACCAATGTCCGATGTGTCTGTGGATGGAGGTGGTTTACTAGGCTTCCCTATTAAACTGAGTTAGTGGGTCTGGGGTAAGTGTTGTGTTTAGTAACATGTCTGATCAAATTGCACATTACACTGGGAAACTCGCCCTATTCTAACATGAGCATTCAAATGCCAAAGGTTGTTAAAGCTGAACCCCACTAAGGGTGGGAGAAGGGTGAGGGAAAGAGAAAGGACCATCTTCCCTCATCTTGTTTGGAATGAGTAGGACTGTGGCATTCATAATACTGGGTTTACTGTTTCAGATAGGGAAACAGCTAGAAGGACTCAGAGTCTCTAGTCCATCCTTTTAGTTGAGGACAGAGATATACAGGAAGTGCTGTCTTTTGTCCAAGGCCATAGAGGAAGGAGAAGAGCTGGAGCCAGAAACCAGGTGTCCTGGCTTTCGGTTCATTGCTCTCTTGATTTGCCCAAGATGACCTGCTTCTGCCTCAAAAGGCGAGAGCTTGATTTCCTCTTCTTGAACCAAAAAGACAGAACTTCAGCAATTCTTGTGGGGAAGGCTCAGCGGCTGCCCTGGCAGTGACTACCCAGGTGACCCTCCTCCCTTCCCCATGGGAGAGCAGAGTGGGGCCTGGGAGTACTCCATCAGGATGACACATGGATCTGAAGGCAGAGACGCCTGACTTGGGGTTCAGTCCCCAGTCTTCAATGATCTCAGCTGTGACATGGAATTCCTCACACCCAAAGTTTTCCAAAACAAAACTTTATCAGGTAGCAGCAGCACATCCCAGCCGAGAGAGCTCTGAGTTTCTGCTGCTTCTCTCTCAGAGGATGAGGAAGCTGTGACCATCACCCCAGTCCAGGGAGAACCTGGCTCTGACCTTCCTTGGGGTGTCCAGACCAGCAACAAATGCAGACCCCAGGCAGGGGCTGGGCCATGGGGCTCACTAATGTATCCTGTGATTTATTCATCAATAAGCCCTGATTGACCTCTGTGTGTCAGCCCTAGGGACACAAAGATGATGAAAACGCAGTCCCTACCCCTAATTGCTCACAAAAGCACCACAGTGTAGGTGCTCCCTGAGAGGCATGAGAAGGTGCCGTGGTCCAGAGTGACTCACCTCACTATGGTGCTGGAACCCCCTTTGTGGTAGTAGAGAGAGTTGTTGTGAACAGCGTGTCCACAGCCGTGGAAATAATACGGGAGGTGGATGAAGGTGTAACTGCCATTCAGAAGAGAGGGCTGGTCCTTGAATTCCTTCACCATGATGCCTGTAGGGGGGAAGCCAGAAAGAGGCTGTTGCTTCCAGCGATCACAGCTTGGGAGGGAGTCCTTGGAGGAATTTCAGAGGAAGGGAAGTTGAGAGTGAAATGTTCCCTACGGTCCCATGTCCAATGTGAAGAATCTAAGACTCCCAAACTCAAAGTCCACTTCTCCATATGGATTTCTGAAATGTCCTTTAAAAGTGATGGGCATCAAATTGGCTTTGTTCCTCCTGGGAGAACTGTGTATCACACTCCCCCAGCCCCACTGCCCCGCAACTCTATACTGTTTATCAAACTCTTCTTTTTTTCTTTTTCTTTTCTTTTTGAGACAGGGTATTGGCTATGTCACCCAGGCTGGAGTGCTGTGTTGTGACCTCAGCTCACTGCAACCTCTGCCTCCTGGGTTCAAGCAATTCTTCTCCCTCAGCCTCCCAAGTAGCTGAGACTACTGACACGGGCCACCATGACCAGCTAATTTTTGTATTTTTAGTAGAGACAGGTGGTCTTGCTGGCCAGGCTGGTCTTGAACTGCTTACCTCAAGGGATCTACCCACCTCGGCCTCCCAAAGTGCTCATATTATAGGTGTGAGCCAATACACCCAGCCTCATTAAACTCTTTATGAGAATGGCATAGGCCATCACCAGGAATAGCAAATACTTGGTGCTTGGGTGGTCACCTCTTGCCTCCTCCCACCTCTTCCTGCACTGTGTGGCAGCCACTGCTAATATACAGTATTACTCTTCCTTTTTGAGTCCCCAGATTCTGGTATTCTGGGCAGTTACTACCAGCTGCCCAGTTGAATAACTTGCCTTGGTGAAATACAAAATGATTTCTTCTCAGCTATTTCTCCAACCAGTGAGTATGGCCAGACCCCTTCTTTAAAGAGGCCAGTGTTCCTACAGCGATTCCTGACCACGTCTCTTTGGGACAGTACAACTAGGGTCCTGCTCAGATGCAGTGTAACTGCAAGGTGAAACTTCACCTCCTTCCTGGGCTCTGTGTCCGACAGGTGGCTGGGAAAGATGGCCAAAAGTACTCTCCTGGGAGGGGGGCAAACTTAGAGAAAGACGGACGGTGCACAAGGATTTGTCTGACAGTTTTTTCACATTATGGTCTGGAGGTTTATGGGGCCTGCAGTCATAGTGCTGTTTGTTTCCTTGCGGATGTTTGGCCTAAAGCAGGCTCTATGTGGGTTACCCTCATCATGCCCCTGTGACCTGAACTTCAAAGCTTGCCACAGCATGTTCAAAGGAGGAAAGTTTTCTGCCTACTCTTCGGTCTTTCTAAGATAAAGAGACATTTATTATGCCAACTACCAGGGATTTCAGACACACACAAATGGAATACGCCTGAAGGTAGGCAACCGATGAGAAATCCAGTTGCTACACAGATATGGGTCATGGGCCGAGTGCAAGTACCTGAAAAATGCTCCGTCACCCAAATCCGGTCATCAATCTTGTTAGCAGACTCTCTTATCCAAGTCCCAAATGTCTCTGTCACTTTCAATACCTGCACTGGGTTTCCAATGGAAGTGATCATGGATTCTGCCAAAAGAAGAGAAAAAAATGTCACTTGCCAGTCAATTATGACTTAAAGGCATTCAGTTTCTAAATTTCAAGACAGGAGGCTTTGTTTCTATACCTGCTTGTGGGGAATGTTCACTGGCTTTCTCATCGGCTTTTCCAACCAAGGTATCATCATTTGGTATGGCACAGGTCTCACCTAAAATGACAACAATAATCATCAGAGCAAATGCGGTTGGCACAGTGAGATTTGATGGACTTTATAGCTGCTGCTCTCCTCTACCTCATTCCAGATTCTTGTCTCATAAGTATCCCTTGCAATAGGTCACCAGATTCCTTGGTTGCTTGCTTTTAAGCAACTCTAAGCCATAGCCTTCCAAACTATCCCCGCTGCTTGTTGAGTTCCCAAGAAGCTTTCCATGAGCACAGTTGCTAAGATAATACAATCCCAAAAGGATGTCAGTAAAAGTGACAAAGTGACCTGAGCCAGCCTGTTCAAGGCCTCAGCAATTTGGGGAAATGAGAGGCTTGTGGACATCTTCCTGGCCTGTCTGGCAGGTGGTGTCACTATCATGATTGCATTGTTCTGGAAGGATTCTCACTTCCAGGGAAGGTGGTGGAAGCTGTGAAGCAGCAGCCCCAGAGAATGGGGTGGCCCACTTTATGCAGCATCTTCCTGGGAGAGGCATGGGAGGGAAAGTGCAGATTTAGAGGAAGAAGTAAGCTAGATTCCATCCAGCCCAGAGACACAGGAGTCCCCTCATGACCATTTCCCCACTGTCTCCGAGGGCCTAGAGCAGGCGTCCCCACACTTTTTACACAAGGGGCCAGTTCACTGTCCCTCAGACCGTTGGAGGGCCGCCACATACTGTGCTCCTCTCACTGACCACCAGTGAAAGAGGTGCCCCTTCCTGAAGTGCGGCGGGGGGCCGGATAAATGGCCTCAGGGGGCTGCATGCGGCCCAGGGGCAGTAGTTTGGGGATGCCTGGCCTAGAGAAACACCGGTCCTTGACAGGGGCCTGGTTCAGATTGGCTTGAGGCTGCCGCTGAGCTGTGATTCATCCTCCTCGGCTTGCCGGTGTTCCCCTTAATGAATGGGCTGAATTCAGACCTTTGGTGAAGACGTGCCTTAGGGTGGCAGCAAGGCAGAGGGAGGAGGATGAATGTGGCCATGCACTCGACTGCAGGCCCACTCAAATCCTGAGGGGTTCAAATCACCTTGTAGTTGCTTGACGGAAAGGGTAAGCTCAAGGGCTCCTTTATCAGTAAAATAAGGGGGCCCAACCATCCATGATCTCTAAGCTTCCTTCTAGCTGGATAAGCCTGTTTCCCTGAAGTCCCTCTGTCATCTGATGAGAGTGGTCTCTGGGATCTATTATGACGTCTCATGGGCAATCCTGCTGCCCCCAGGGTTTCAACGGGGCTTTCCATTTAGGGAACTACAGGGTATTAAAGACATGGAGATGGAGCAGGAGAGAGGGCCAAGTTCAGATGCAAATGCCTGGCAATCAAAGACTCATTTCTAGGAGGCAGAGTGGAAGATAAGATAATGCCTCATTTAAAGCCATTTTCATGGCTCTGGGTCCAGCCCCTGCCAACCCAGCCCCCAGGTAGATCCCGCCAAACCCAGGAGATGGCTTCTTTAGACAAGGGCTGTCACTGGCTGGCAGAGCCTGTGGCAAATTAGAATTCTGCAAAAGCTCGGGTCAGAGCCCTCTTCTCTCAGGGGAGGTCCCACTCAGCTCATTCTTCAAGGGAAACTGAGCAAAGGGCTGGTGCTGCTTTCTGGGGAGGAACTGCAGGGCAGCCCAGCGGAGGAGCAGCTCTGCCCTGGTCGCACGTTGCAGAATTAGAATCAGCCTCCACTGAGTCGGATAGGGGGATGGTGCCATCTTCGAAAGCACAGATTCGCCCACTTTACGACAGCTAACGGCATGCACCCAATTGTCTTCCAGAAAGAACAGTGCACCAAACAGAGCTCAACACTGTTTAGGAAAATAGCAGCAACGGCCACAGCAAGGCCGAGAAATTCCAGTGAGGAGCCTCCTTACGAGTGCCGTTGAGGAGATGGCTGCAAGTGGCCCTCCTCATGGTTTCAGTAAAGTGACAGATCCTAGGTCACTCCTTTTGGGAAGAAGTCCTAGCATCAACCTAGAAGTATTTTCTATTAATATAATCCTTGATTTCCAGTGAGCTTTCAACCCTGTGGCCACTGGGCCACAAACCAGCTGAAGAACAAGTCCTCTTGGTCCAGCAGAGGTCAAGTGTTCCTTGCTCTTGGTTAGCCTGACCTTGGGTCAGGTCTCACAGTGTGAATTTCTATCTAAATGGAAGATGCCCTGAGAGCTGGGTTTGAATCCTAGCTCTTCCCCTTACTCCTGGGGGTACCTAGGGCAAGTTCCTTAGCTCTCTGGGAGCTAAGGAATAGGATAGTATCAGTTTTACTCTCTGTAAGTTAAATGCAATAATGATTCCAATATCATAGGATTGCTGTGAGAATTAAACAAGCACATAGCCCCGAGCCCGGCTCATTGCAGCACCATTGAGGACTTAGCCAACCCAAACGTCCCCTTCATCTCCTGAGCATCAGTCAAGCTTCTCACTTCCCAGGACTGCAAAAAGTGAGCAGCTTAGCTTTCCAGAGCGGGGAGGGATGATCTGCTCATCTGAGTCCCTGACCTATCCTCTGGTAAATGAAGGAAGCAGGATGAGGGAAGGGGAATGGAAGCCTAATTCTACAACTGTCCCTAGTCCTTAGCCTAGGGGCAGACTACAAAGAGACCTCCTATGAGAAGGCTGCAAGAAGGGGACTCTTATTTTGTACAAAACCCTCCTCCCTCTATTAAAACAAATCTGGTCACAGAGCCTGGGGTGCAGACCAAGAGTTTGGGATAAGAGACAGAGGTGGCGGGTCCTGTGGGGGAGGGGTGGTGACCTGGGCACTGTCCATTGAACATGTTTGGCTGCCGAGGGCCTTTGGCTCTTCTGCTTCCAGGGGGCCCTGGAGGACCTGGAGGGCCTGGGGGCCCAGGAGGACCGGGTGGGCCTTGGTCACCTTTGGCACCTGGAGAGAGAGAGAGAAAGGGAGAGAAGGAGGGAGAAGAGGGAAGGGGAGAGAGGGACAAAGAAGGGGAAGGAGGGCAATGGGAGAAAGGAAGGGAGGAAGGGGGAAGGGCGGGAGGGGGGATGGATGGAGGGTGAGGGAAAGGAGGAAGGGAGGAAGGGAAGAGGGAGATTGATTAAGGTGCTCTAAATATGAGTACAGAGGACTAACGAGCACCTCCCTGGAGCCTCACTGAGCTACCCCTCCTGGAGGTAACTTACCCTAGCACTTGTCTTTGCCACGTTCAGGAGCAACCTATAGTAGGTGCTGAGTACCAACTGGGTGCCAGAGACTGTGCCGAGAGTTTCACAGTCTCCCATCATTCTTCCCAACCACACTGTGAGGTCATAGTGTTATCTCCTTAGGAAACTGAGTCTTGGAGAAGTGAAGTGACCTGCCCAGTGCTACAGCTGAAGACAGCGGAAGCACAGCTTGAGGTGTGTGTCTCTCTGTAAAGCTCATCCTGTTTCTGTTGGCCATGCCTGTGTATCTCAACCCTGATTGCCTATTGGAATCACCTAAAAAGCTTTCATGAAATTTTAATGCTTGGGTCCCATCTCGGACCAATCAAATCTGAATGTCTGTGGGGAGGTTGGTCAGCTGTATCATCCGAAGCATTTTCATATGTAGACAGGTATGAGAAGCACCGCTCTGTGTGGTTGAAGAAATTAGGAGTCCTATAGGTTCCAGTTCTGTTCAGCTTTGTGATCTTGGGCAGAGAACTTAACCCTTCGGAGCCCCTAAATTTCTTCATCTCCAAATTGAGTCTCACAATTCCTGCCCTGCCCTGTGGGAATCAGGGAGGCCACTGCTGTGAGCGCTTTGACAGCTATATCCCTACACACTTGCAGGCAGCCTCTCTAACTTCAGGTGGCTGATGTGGATGAAGCCCCCAGCAGGGCTGTTGGTTCTGGAGCTTTTGCAAAGATGGCACTGGCTGGGGTGTTCAGCCCTTTGGTTCTCCCCTCCTGTCCTGAGCTGAGACTGGTCAGCTAAGGTCTCTTTAGCTGCCTCCTCACAGCCAGACCAAATAAGCCTTTTCAGTCTGTCTACAGCGGGCAAGTGGAGTCACAGAAGCCGGAAGCAGGGATCTGCAGGCAGAGCAGACGAGTCCCAGCCTCCTACGCCCTCTCTATTCTCCTCCACGCCCTCTTTGCCCTCCTTCTGCGCCCCGCTCCGCCCTCTTCCGGTGCCCTCTCCACTCTCTTCCAAGGGACACCCTCTGCCCTGACCTGGCCTTTTCAGTTGGGGTTCGTACAGGATGGTGCTTTTCTGAAGGGTTTGTCATCACCCCTCACTTGGTCAGCAGCATGGGGGAACGTGGTACTCTGGATGTGTCGCTTTCCTATGTAGCTGAAGTGTAACGTAATCTTATATTTTTCAAACATATTTATGTATATCACTCTGTCAAAACCCCTCTTAAATTTTACACATTTTGCATAGCAACATCCCCTGTTCATGAAACAAAATGTACTAACCTCAGTTCGATGTTTCCTTGGTGCTTTGGTCTCAGCACAGTACCTGGTAAACAGCAGGCACTCAGTCAAGTCCGAGTGGATGGATAGATGGTTGGATGGGCAACTGATTCTGGGTCATTGTTCTGAACACCTAGCCTCCTCCTAGCTTCCTGAGGACAAATGTTATGTCTTACTCGTCTCCAGCTACTAGCTAAGTCTCTGACTCAGAAATAATGTTCTCTGGTATTTGATACATCTTTATTGTCTTCATGGTTATATTTATATTGTTATATTTTTATCATATAGGTGATCTCCAAAGTACTGTGCTTCTAAAATTCTTCTGCCTCCTGCTCCTCCATGAGAGTCAGCTGTCACCTGCTCTTTCCCCTGTGTTGTTATCTTTCTGGCTTGCTGCCCCTTACCCTCTTCTCCCACAAACACCAACTATCTGCTTTTACCCTGGGCTGGAAAAGCAGCCACTGCATTTGTAGGGGAAATACCCCTGATGACAGTAACTGAAGTGTATCCTTAGAATGACTCTGTATAGCAGATGCATCTGAATGTGTGCTCAGAGCTGGGGAATCTGGGAGTTGCCAACCCAGAGCTTCGTTCCTTGTTTTGAGGAACATCTGAGCCCCTGACCCATCCCATGGAATGGGGGCCATGCAGGCAGTTGAGGCCCTGAGTTTTGGGTTAGGTGAAGGTTGCTAGGTGGAGGTGGTTAAGGGGAGAGTGCTGACGTAGTATGAATGTCCCGCTCAAATCTCATGTTCCCCAGTGTTGGAGGTGGGGCCTGTGGGAGGTCTTTGGATCATGCGGGCAGATCCCTCATGAATGGCTTGCATTGCCCCCTTGGTAATAAATGAGTTCTTGAGAGACTTGGTCATTTAAGTGTGTGGCACTTCACATTCCACTCTCACTCTCTCTTGCTACTGTTCTTGCCATTGATGTGCCTGCTTCCCCTTCACCTGCTGCCATGATTACAAGTTTCCTGAGGCCTCTCCAGAAGCTGAGCAGATGCCAGCATCATGCTTCTTGTACAGCCTGCAGAACTATAAGCCAATTAAACCTCTTTTTTTAAAAATAAATTACCCAGTCTCAGGTATTTATAGCATAGCAATGTGAGAACAGACTAGTACAGCTGTTAAGTGAAAATGTCAGGTAAACTGCATGCTGTTTGCAGGTGTCTGTGGTTTTCCTGCTGAGTCTATTGCCCCTGGGCTGCAGGTAAGGCAGTTAGCTCATCCAGTCCACTGCCCTAGGCTGCTTTTGTCTTAAGGTGGTTCTCCTGTCCACCCCATTACCACTGGACTCTCTCCCCTGTACAAGTCCCCCAGTAAAGTCCCATGTAGCAGTTGCTGGCCCCAGGTCTCTTCTTTGGATTCTTGAGTCTGTTGCCATCCTTACTGAGGTTGACCGGGGCTTGGCACAACAATATTTTGCCCCAGTCCTATGTGAAAAGGCCATTAGGTTCCAGGCCTGAGGATGGCTCTACCTCGACAGCAAATGCTTTTGCTTCCTGTCAGTTGTCCTCTGAGGTATCATAAGTTGCTTGCTTACTTGTCTTGTTCTGGATTGTGCTGGATTTCAGTAGATACTTGGAAAAGAAACTTCCTTCATTCCATTGAAGTCAGCCATGCCTTTTAGACCCAATTACCTGAACCACTTATGCACTGGGATGCCAGACCTGGTCTTGCCCACATGGAGTAACATGCTCAGGTTTCTCCTCTTTGAAAGCATAGAACTCCAAAACATGCTGCAAAACAGATGGCTGCATAAGGCCATAAAGGAGAGAAGACACAGGAGCCACCCTTGTGTTTGCAACCAGGTGGTTCTCTGGGCACGCATGCCCTCAGAGCCGGCGCGCGCCCTTCTTACCTGCCAGGAGCACGTCGTTGGACACATCTCCTTTGTCTCCCTTTTCTCCCTTCTGCCCTGGTGGGCCCTCATTTCCCTGCAGGCCCAGTTCACCAGGGTCTCCCTTTTCTCCTCTTTCCCCTGGATTTCCTGCAGCTCCAGGTATCCCTGACCAAAAAAAAACCAAAAGACATTTTAGCCTATTGTGCAAGAAGTTCAGCATGCCACTTTACTGTACTTTGTGCTTTTCGGGGAAGCAGATACACCAAACGCACAGCTTTTCATAACCATTTTAGAGCAGCAGTGTGGCCGTATGTTCATTAAAGAACAGCATTTCTGGGTGGCCCTGCTGGATTATTTATTTATTATTTTTTGAGATGAAGTCTGGCTCTGTTGCCTAGGCTGGAGTGCAGTAGCATGAGCTCAGCTCACTGCAACCTCTGCCTTCCGGGTTCAAGTGATTCTCTTGCCTCAGCCTCCTGAATAGCTGGGACTATAGGTGTGAGCCACCACACCCACCTAATTTTTATATTTTTAGTAGAGACAGGGTTTCCCCATGTTGACCAGGCTGGTCTTGAACTCCTGACCTCAAGTGATCTGCCCACCTTGGCCTCCCAAAGTGCTGGGATTATAGGCATGAGCCACCACACCTGGCCTGCTGGATTATTTTCAGAGAAATTTGGCTGAGCCAACAGATCAGAGAGAGGAGTGAATGGCAAGAGGGGTAACATCAGCAACACTGGAAAGAAGGTCAGGAAGGCCTAATGAGAAGTCTGCAACCATGATGCTCAGAAGGGTGTGTCCACTGCCATACTAGTGGGTGTTAAATCATTAGTTTATTTCTCACAACATATTGGAGTGGTAGTCTGGGCAGTCATCCTTACTCTCATCTTATAGGTGTTGAAACTAAGGCCTACAGTGGTTATAACAGATGCTGCCAAATCAGAGCAGCAAAGCAAATCTCTAATGCCCTTTTCTGTGACATTCCAATGCAAAACACTTTCAATCACAATAATGCTTTCAATCACAATAGCAAAACAGGTAAAGTTTGCTTTAAGACAACCATTAGTAAGGATGGCGAGTAAAAGGTAGTGAGCGAAATTTCTGCCTCTGTTCACAGGGAGCTATGACTACAGGAACTGCTGTCCTTCGCACACTGCTAGCAACCAGTCAAGCTCTAAGTTACAGCTTGTGTCAGCCTTGGACCTGGGCAGTGAAAGCACCCCCTTGGATTGTCCCAATTCACTGCTGGGAGGTAGTTCCCAGTGGCACAGGGAGGAGGACCTCAAATAGCCTATCAATCTCACTAAGTTGAGCCAAACGTCAGATTTTGGGGAGATGGAGGTGGCTAGAATTTGCAAGACAGAAGAGCAGAGAGGAGACAGCTATGTGAAAGAGCCCTGCTGATCTGCAAAGGGCTCTCTTGAACCTGTAACTGAGGGATGACTCGCACATGTGAGGGAATTCCAGAGGGCTGGGAAAGGAATTCACAGACCATTCACTATACAATTTTTGGGATTCACATAGCAAAAAATTCTCATTCCCACTGCCAACACGGAGAAATCTCAAAATACTGAAATAACAGGTAGAGTCCTTGAAAAAGTCTTGCTGTAGTAGTGAGGCTAAATTAGCCTTGGCTTGAAGGATGCTGTGGACCCATCATTACAAAGCTTCAAAACAAGTTTCTAAAGGACCAAACTTATCTGCAAATTATTTAACCGCTTGACTCTATGCTTGCTGAGAGTCCAAAATTTGAATTATTCAGTTCATGTAATTCAGTGTATTAGCAATTTAAGCAAGAAAAACTATATGATCATCTCAAGGATATAGAAAAGGCATTTGATACAATTTAGCACCCATTCTTAATTTGTCAACAAACTAGAAATAGAACTTCCTCAGTCTGCAAAAGGTCATTTACAAAAAACCTATAGCTAGTGTCATCCTTAATGGTGAAAGACAACGTTTTCTCCCTAAGATCAGAAAAGAGGGTATCTAATCTCACCACTTTTATTTAAACATCCTACTGAAGGTCCTAGCCAGAGCAGTAATGCAAGGAAAAATAACTAAAAGGTGGATAGATTGGAAAGGATGGATGAAGACTGTCTTTATTTGCAGATGTCATGAGTGCTTATGTAGAAAATCTCAAGGAATCCATAAAAAGGCCACTAGAACTCTTAATTATACAGTTACACAGGGTCCCTGAGAGGGGAAGTTAATTATCTAATATTGTTCAAAGCTATTGCCAGATATGAATCAATTAACATGATACTCTATCTCAGGGAATATGTGCTCATTTTAACAACAGCTCCTTGGAGATATTGCTCAACAGAGGTATTGCCCAAGTGGCAGAGATTTCAGTGATGGGGAGGTTAGCAAGTCATAATACCCTTCAGTTTATACACAAATGCCCTGCACTGCCGTCAGATTAATTATTCCCTAAAACAGCAGTCCCCAGCCTTTTTGGCACCAGAGGCTAGTTTTTTGTGAGGACAATTTTTCCACAGACCAGGATGTGGGGAGAGATGGTTTTGGGATGATTCTGATGCATTACATTTATTGTGAGCTTTATTTCTATGACTACACTCTAATATATAACAAAATAATTATACAACTCACCAAAATGTAGAATCAGTGGGAGCCCTGAGCTTGTTTTCATGCAATGAGACAGTCCCATCTGGGGGTGATGGGAGTCAGTGACAGATCATCAGGCATTAGATTCTCAACAGGGCTTGCACTCCTATGAGAATCTAATGCCACTGCTGATCTGATGGGAGGTGGAGCTCAGGGGTAATGTGAGCACTAGACAGTGGCTGTAAATACAGATGAAGCTTCACTCAGTTGTCCGCTGCTCACCTTCTGCTGTATACCCGGTTCCTAACAGGTCATGGACCGATATGGGTCTGGGGGTTGGGGACCCCTACCCTAAAACATAAATCTGGAGCTCTTAGCACCTTTCATTTACCCTAGAGGAGTAATAAATAATCAAAATTGTTTCTGCTCTTCCATATTCATATTTGTATCCCATATTCAAGGAACCATCCACAGATTATTCTAAGGAAGACAGCAGTGCATGAAAAAGCCTCAAAGTGTTGATCACTGTTAGAAGAAAACTGTAGTGAACAAAAATCATTTGCTAGATTTCAACCAACCAATAGAAAACCTTCGCGAAAACCATGACATTTAGCTACAGCTGGGAGTCAGAAGACCTGGGGTCCTCACAGCTACCAGTGGTAAGCTTGGGTGGCGGCTGCCCAGCCAGATGATGTGAAGAGGAGCAGGGGCCTGTCCATTGTCAGCACCGGCTCGGCTATGGATTCTGTGGATTCAGGGGTCAAAGCATGCCTCTCTGAGGGGTCATTAGTCGTAACGCCTTCCTCACTACAGCACCAAAAATCCATTGCACTGGCTCCCCCCAGCCTCAGTCATGAGGCCATTTGGCTGGAAAGTGGTTTACTCACTTGAAAGGAGCCCTTCTGCCAGGCCCTGTGTGTGAGAAGACGTTCTTTTGTCAGTTTTAAACGGGCAATTTGGCACTTTATCTGAAGGAGACAAAAGATGAGGGCATCGCCATAGAGTCCAGCCCGCACAATGCAGCAAGTGTAACTGACACCTTTGAAAGGTCTCACATGACCCAGATTTAGCAGTGCCCAGGGAAATGGGATCTGCTGGCTACCGCAGAGATATCTTTTTCAGGCATTTATGATAGTCACAAACAGCCTTCTGCATCATCCGATTTCTCCTTCCTTTCTTTTATTCCTTCCTCTTGTCTTTTCTTTCTCGGAAAGGCCATATGTGAAATAGGGAAACGTGCCTGCCGTCGGGCAGCTGTTGAAATGCAGCCCCCACAGGGGCAGGTATTTAAAGCTATTCAAGACCTTTGCTTAAGGCTGTATTTTGACTGTAGTTGGGGAAGGCATGATCATTTTTTAATTTTCATTAAGAAAGTGTTGGGGGACATTTTATCTGCATAGTTTGCCTTTGCCCTCTTGTCCACCATGGCACTGACACAGCTTTCCCTCGTCTTTGTTGGTAAAATCGCCCTGGCTGTGCTTTGGCTGTGGTATGTCAGAAATGAAATGCCACCTAATCATGATTCACCATCAGGAACCTATGCGTGGCATTTTCCACCCTGCCCTGGCCCAGCGAAGGTCAGGGATGCTGGCTGTGCACAGTGGCAGCTAGGACACGATGTGATCTGGACCCCTGGCTGGCTTTGAGTCAGCACTTTATGCCAGAGAAGGAAGGCCCAACTCTGCCTGCCTAACTTGTGCTACAAGTGGCTCGCCGGCATTTCTTTTCCCAGGTGTTGCCCACTCAAAACAAACAGTTTCATTAGCATTTGAGTTTGGAGTTGTGTGATATCTCTGGGCTGAGGTCCACTCTCGTCTTCACAGTAGGGGGTGAGGGAGGAGGTTTTATTTTCAGCAGTATCATCTGTTGCTGACTAAGACGGGGGGGAAAAGGGGCTGGAGGGTGTCACACAAAACCCAGTCTTGAGACACGAATAAGGAGGAGGGCTTTCATTTCTGTTTTTATAAGAATTTGATTTTTAGAGAAGACTTTGCAGCACTAACTTGTAAGTGAGAAAATGAGAGGCAGATGGAAGGAAAGAAAATGCTTGATTTTGAGGCAATGGCATGTCATACTTCATAGAAGATGCTGGCTGCACAGTTGACATTCAGGTCTCTTTCAGTTCTGACTCTTCTCTTCAAATCTAAGTGGGTGTTTCCAAATGAATACAGAACACTTCCAGTTAGGTTTCCCTTTGGTCTAAATAAAGTTTCTCCTTCCCCACTTTTGAAAACAACAACAATAAAAATAGCTAACCCCAGTACAGCACTTACACTGTGTCACATCCTCTTCTAAGCATGCATATACACACACACACACACACACACACACACACACACACACAAACTCATTTAATCTTCCTAATAACACTATGAGGTTAATACTATCATTGTCACCATTTTGCAAACAAGGAAATTGTGGCACAAAGCGATGAAGTAACTTACCCAGGGGCATACCGCTAGTAAGCAGAAGAGCCAGGACCCAAACCACCTGGCTCTGCTCTTCCACCATCATTCTTAGCTTTTCTAAGGTCAGAACCTGAGCAACTTTGATATGTCAATCTTCTAGAAGCCACTATTAGGCTACAGAGCTTAAGC